CACGTTTTTGTTCGCCATTTTCATCTAAACTAGTCATGCAGGGAGTTCTTTCATAAGCAAAATGTTACCTCAAGAAACCACTCTTTTCCTTTGACTCTGAAACCTCCTTCAGCCTAAAAATTAAAACAGTAAAAGGATCAATGGCGAAAAAATACTCTACTCTTACGCTTATACGAGGATTAGCGGACAAACAAGTACAACCCTCGTTGAAATGCACCGAAATAAACGCATATCGCAAAATTGCTTTGAGCTACCTTTCGTGTAGCTCTTCCACTGTTCCCGGCAGAGGATGTACAGCGATGTGAATAGCCGGCATGATGCTGATAAAGGAGATCAGAAAACTCTACAACATTGATATTAATGCTGAGTACTTCTTTTTCGACGATAGGAAAACTGCTATGAATGTTGATGATTTGAGCAGAGGAAAGAATATTCGCTTAAAGAAAGTTGGAGTCCAGTCTCCTGTCGGTGCAAAACGCCATCAAGGACTTGGTCACTCCAATCCGACCGATATAGTCAAACAAAAGGATCGAGGCGATGAGACTTTGTTCAAAATGTTAAAAATTGGATTTCCAAGAAAGCATATAGTTCTAGGAGACAGGGCAAGAAGAAAGATTATGGCTCTCTCGCAACCGTTCTCTTAGGTGTCACGGAGCATTACGTGACATACTACTGAAGATCGGCTGACTGCGACAAGGCCTGATAAGGTATAACTCTCCAATCTGAATTTAAAGTGAAAAATGTCAAATCCTCTTTAAAGTCTCTGGCCCTTACACTCTCGATTAGCCTTTTGAGAGTGTTAGTGGTAATCACTCTCTATCATATGTTTGGCCAAGAGCTTACGCATGTCAGAAAATTGAGTAATGATAGGGACATTGCTCAGTACCATAAAGAACCACACCTACATCTATTTTGGTGGAAGATCCTAACTGTTTGACTACTGCCCTCTGGCTATGGATTGAAATATCTGCGTTAAATCATACGCCTGGGTGATTACAATGTTTTCTTGCACAAAGTAAATATGTAATGAGTATTAACAACCCACCAGGAACACATGTTTTCAAATACTGGGGATGAAATCATGAAAGTTGGAGAAGGGGTTAAATAACGAGAAGAAAATTTGAATCTGAATTGCTTCATGCCGGTTACACTTTCATGTTGTAAATTTGTTCATTCAATTGACAGCAGAGTCAATTTCAAAAGTAAACCAAAACATCATTTATTGCCATGAATGAATATTTACAGTCAAGTACAGGTATAATATATATAAATTTACATCTTGCAGCGTCAAAATTTGTGAGATATTCTACATGCACAGTTTAAACTTGAGCCCAGGAGCAGCCTTGTGTGTGAATTTTCCATACCACACTTGCGATTTTACATCCGTAAATGTTCCCTGACCTTCAAGTCTGTAACAGAAAAAACAACAACATGCAACATTAGAAAATGTCTGCAGAAATTTTGAGGTAAAGGTACCAAAATGTTCATGAAATCTGAAGATGCTATCCCATGACATTTTAGCTCCTGGCTGACCAGATAACATGTAATGGGCAAGTTTACACATGTATCTACTATTACCCAATTTTTACATTTTAAAACCAGAAAATTAAAAAAAAAAAAAAAAAGCACAAAACTCCAAGCAAATAAATGACATTGTTATAGACCTAGACTTTCACTCAACAAAACTAGCACTGTGATTGGTTGATTCTTGGTCACATGCCCCTGATAAAATTCAAATGTATGATCCAAGAAGGATATAATTACACAGTTGTTGCCCACAAGCCAAATACAACAGCATGTTTTTGCCATTAAAGCACTTAATGTATGGTCACAAGGGAAACTAGTTTGTTTTGTTTTCCAGAGAGACCCGATGTTTTCTGAGACTCTCAGGAAAATAAAACCAACTGTTTCTCTCGGAACCATACATTAAGTGTATAATATTTGTGGGCTTTTTCCTGAGGGCTCCTCTGACTACATGTATCAATTGTTTCATGCCGTAACTCAAAAAAATCAAAGTTGGCCTATTTAGTTTGGGAGACACCCAGATAATTATCTAATCCCAATCACTTTTGGAAGGCTTACTTGTTCTCGTTGAAGTTTCCCTCATAATATGATCCATCAGGCCAAGTGTACTTTCCAAATCCATGGAACATGTTGTTGACAAATTCTCCCTGTGAGTGAGAGAAAATTTACATCTTATATAACAAAATAATACCTGCAATTCATTACAGGTAAACTTACCCAATTGGAACAGTTCTATTATTGCTCAGTGTATGGAAATGTATTCATTAAATGTTGGCCTTGAATTTACACTATTCTCAATGAAATTAATAATGCAGTATGATTGTGAGAAAAACTATCTATAAATGCCACCCTCTGCTTTAGGCTGCACTCAACCTGGAAAATACAACATTTATTCATTTCACGGGCTATGAAAAAATAGAATATCAAGTGTGGCATGACTCATGCAGTAACCAAAACAATACTTGGAAATTTATACAAAAAACACAGCTAAACATTCAAGCTTTGAACCAGTTTACATGATGCACAATATTTAATAATAATGCTGGAACCTGGAAAAATTATTTTGATAGAAACCCCACCATCAAATAAACACTGCCCTTGAATAAATTGCAGAATGTTAACAATAAGAATTGAATACAAGCTATGGCATTAACCCTTTGAAGTGATTGGCTTCTAATTTCTCCTTACAATATCAACCCTAAATCAAACAGTGAGGTCATGAGAATATAAGAAATGATCACCAATTCAAGAAGCTCTTGATTATTTAACAAATTCTCCATGTTAGAACCTCAGGAAATATTCAGAAAACAGTATGGAGAATAAGTATACTGATGTAAGGGTGTAAAGAGTTAACCTCTAAGCTACCAATCATTTGTGGTAAAAAAAAAACAAACAAACAAACAAGACATGATGATGGTAAATAAGATGTTTTAATACCTCATATATGGCTCCTGATGGATGAAGAAGTTTCCCTAAAAAATAAGACAACAGTCTATTCTGTGTTCATAGGAAGATGGAGAAGCAATCTTGAATAAAGAATTAGCAGACAAATTTTCTTGTTTTGTTTGCTTATTTCAGTAAATAACATCATTGAGAAAACTTTTATCCTTTAACTCCTATGAGTGACCATTGCAGAATTTTTCCTTAAAATATCAACACAGTATCAAATGGACAAGTGATGAAAACAAAGAAAAATATCAATTAAGAAGTTAGTAATTGATCTAATATCAAATTCTCAAATAACCATCGTAGGATTGTTTGGTAGACAGTGAGGAGAATTACTAAATAAAATAAAAAATGAGATCTTAGGATTGAAAGGTTTAACATGACCATAGAAAACAACGAATGATTTTAGAATACAAAATCAGGTCTTCACTCCTTCAGAACTCACCTTGTCCATTCATCTTGTCTCCACTCCAGTTACCATAGTAACTAAGTCCATCAACTGTTGTATGGGTACCATAACCTTGACGCAATAAGCCTTCATCTGCCTGGATGTATTCACCATCTACAAAGGAAGCCAATTTTATTTGCCAAATTGAAACCTGCTAGGGTTTCAAGGAAAGGTGTCAATATTGACAGGTAACGAGACATTTGCGAGAAAGTAACTGAGGTAAACAAAGCAATCTGGGAGCACACAGTGTTAAAAAATATGATAACACAAAGATACCATTTCAGTTTGGTATATTTTCCTGATCAAAGCTGTGTCCCTATATCTGATTATCAGTCTCGACTATTCTATAGAACTTACTTTAACTTATATTCATTTATTTTTGATATTTAGACAGGCTTGTCCAGTTCAACTTTAAATCTGGTTTAAATGAGGGCCTAAATTTCTCTTTGAGAGAAAAGCATGCCTCATGAGCTCACAGAAAAGGGCGCTATATAAATTCTTGTATTATTATTATTATTATTATTATTATTATTATTATTTTTATTAATGTCTCCTGCTAACCAGTAAAGAGAAAATGCAAGAGACCAGGTCTGTGGTTTATTTTCCTAATCCAATGATAAGACAAAATTGTCTAACCATTGGCAGATGTCATAGTATAAAGGAGGCACATTCTCCCCAGTAATATAGAAACCTTAAGTTTTGGCTCGGTCTGGGGCTTAAACCCCTTCCTCAACAGTCCACAGCTCTTTAGCATGAGATAACCAGGTATGGTGCTCACCATATTTATCTCCATTGGGAAACATGTATACACCACTTAGTATCGTTGCACCTAAGATTGAAAAAAAGCAAAACAATAGCTATATTGAAAATTTGAAACATTGGTAAACTCTTGAAAAGAAATTGCAATATATTAAAAGAATATGAACCCTGAACAGGAGACAATATAAGATTACTGATAAAAGATATTAATGTAGCTATATCTTTAAGATAACTATTACTAAGATATCAGAAAAAATTACTCTAGTCTACAGCTTAAATGACACAATGTTCAGGAATATGCTTGTTGTGTGAATGACTTTCTAGAACTTCATCTACACACAAACAAACAATCGCTTAACATGTGCAACTTGATCTTTACCAGCATCCGCCTTCCCTCCTTTTTTCTCTGTCTTCTTGGAAGCAGCTATTAAATACAAACGCCAGAAAATTAAAACAAAACAGGACAACAATATTAAGTATCTCGTACTGTCAGTGTAAGTGCAAGTCTCGATCGAAGATATTCCTGCAGAAACCTTCCTTCAGATGGTAGTAGGGATATTTTGCTATGAAACAGTTGTAAACTGTTGTAATTTTAAGGTTACCTGGCATGATTTCCCCTGTTTTTGCTGACAAGTTGATATCTCTTAATCAAAGTCACTCTACCCTCACAACAACCGCAAATTTACCTCCATGGCGATGAAACTAACAATGCATCACGGGAGTTTTCCTATCACCCTTTGTGATTGGCCCAAAGTATCAGAATTATCACTTTTTTTGATTGGTCAAAAGAAAGTAAGGAGATTTTTGACTTCCATTTCGTCATTCGAGAACGAATCGAGCCTTCAGTCACGATGGCTAAGGTAGACTTCCTAGAATTTTAAAATCCACGAACGAAGATGCAATTCATCGTAGTAAAATATGGTTCTAAAGGATTCAGCCCAGGAGCATGATAAAGATGTTCATGGGTTTACGCAATCAAAATTCCTGGCAGTCAAAGAAGGACTCGAGCGAGAAGTTGATGTTGAGCCGGCAAAGCCAATTTTTCCCGGTGGCAAACAAGTCAAACATGTCGTATCTGGAGGAGTTGCAGGCGCTTTGTCACGAACTTGTGTTTCGCCTTTAGAAAGAGTGAAAATTCTTCTACAGGTTGGCTTCAATTCACTACAACGAGATAGTTTTGAGTAAAAGTATGCTCATATCTATCTGAATTATTTCCTTTTCAGATTCAAGTTAAGGATCCAAAATTTTCAGGCGTTGGTGCAACTTTGATCAAAATAGGAAGAGAGGAAGGGGTAAAGGGTTATTTTAAGGTGATCATAATTTATATCAATAGCTATAAAAAAAACTTATATCAATATCTATTTTTAAAAAAACAAATTTAGAGGCTGATGGTATTCTGGGAAAAATCATGTGTCTACCCCCTCCTCACCCCATCCTACCAGGGGGTGCTCATGCTCCCTTGCCTAGTAATAAATATATCTTAAAGCAACAAAGGGAAGATTTTGTCAGGGAATGGGGTGAGGAGAGAGAGTATAGGGAGAGAGGGACAAGTCATGCGAAGGTGATATTCTTGATGTTAATTCATTATATTATTCAGAATTTGTTTGCAAAAACTGTATCTCTATTTAAAGATAAGAATCCAGTTTATCATGAGTTGTTTCAATCATCAAATTTATATAATCATATAAACTCCCAGTTATACTGTACTCATTTGCAGTCTCTCTCTACAGGGTAATGGAACAAATGTTCTTAGAATTATTCCGTACTCAGCAGTGCAATTTGCTTCATATGAAGAATTCAAGAAGGTATAGTAATCAAACATTTATTGATTATGTCTTGGAAGGTTTATGTACTCTAAATATAGGGCAATAAGTGAATTAAAATGGAAGGATTACTGATATATGAAAATTGGGAGCATAGATATTTAAAAAGCATAATTTGACATCTTTTGGAAAACATGGATAGGACATTTCAATCTCTTTGGTACCTCCTATTTTCCTACAACAGCTTGTCTTCTTGGCACCAATTTTTAAGTATTATTTTATTACATTTTCAGCTTCTGAAGGTTTCAGAAGATCTTCAAAACCAAACTCCTTTGCGGCGACTAGTTGCTGGAGGTTTGGCTGGGACAACATCTGTTATTGCAACTTATCCTCTTGATCTTGTAAGGTAACTTACTGCCTGTTCTATTGTTATATTCAGTAACATAACCTTCCAAGTTTAGCAAACTTTGATTATATTAATCCTGCATTCAAGAATGATTAAACTACATAACTGTATGTGGGAGGCTAGAAGCAGAAAGTGGATCCAGGAATTTTCCCAGGAAGGGGTGTACCACTCAGGAATGATGTAACTGACAGGTGACGCAAACAATTGTTTTCGAAGAATACCAGTCATATCAGTAAGCTGAACATTACCTCAAGGGAGGAGGGGAGGTGTACCCCTGCACCTTCCTCTAGACCCATCCCTGTGAAGCAACTTGGAATATTGAAATTCTGTCTGGATAAGGTGCTAATTCGGCCCAAGTTAATGCCTTCACTTCCAGATGTCATTAGTAATCATCCTTACTGTCTGCCATACAGTTCTTTTGATGTTAGTTTGGATAATTTGGTATTGGATCAAATAAAATTTCCCAAATTGATATTTTTCTCCTTTCTAAGCACTTGTCTGCTTGTTATTGTATTGATATTGTTAGAAGAAATTCTGTCTCAGTAACTCATGAGAATTACAGGGTTTGAGAGCAATATTTTGTTAGATTTCCTTGGCAGTATTGGAAGCCTGGTACCCATGTAGAGAAATTAACTGCCCCAAAACACAACACAATGACTCTGTACCCTGGGTTGCAACTCAGCGACATTTCTCACTTTATATTGGTGATTAGTATTTAGTATTTTTAAAAAGTCTATGGACTGTCTCTTCACAGAACAAGACTTGCAGCACAATGTGAAGGGGCAGAGAGAAGATACAGGTATTAAAAATCCTTTCTTAAACCATAGTGTACACCTTAACATCAGTATGCATATTCTCCAAACTGTTCCCTATACATTTCCTAAGGTGTAGATAAGGAGAACTTGTAGAGCATCTGTAGTTGGTGATCTTTTCCTTTATTCTCGTGACCATGTTGTTTGATTCAGGGAGATATTGTAAGGAGAAATTAGATGCGAGTCCACTTTTAGGATGAAACTGGTGTATCATTTATACTGATTATAGACAAGGTGAATTCAATGATTTATTTATATATTTATCTGTCTATTTATTTATGACATGATCTTACAGGAATATTTTACATGCATTTCAAACAATTCTGAAAGATGAAGGAGGACTTATCAGTGGTTGTCTTTACAAAGGACTTCCTCCAACTGTCATGGTATTGTATAATAAACACCTCGATGTAAAATAATTATGCAAGATTTTGCACAGTGACTATGCTTTGTAACTATTACAATATGCACTTGTTTCAGTTATGACACACAAACATGTACTGCCTATAATACTAGAGTAATTTAGTATCAACTGAATTGAAAATGTAAATTGGCCACGGGAAAGAGTTTAAAAGTTGAGTTTAAAAGCATACAATATTAGGGTGAAGCAAGATAACAGTTTATAATCTCCAGGGTGAGGACAATGTTGGCCACAAATTTCTTTCGCTTATAGAATAAAGATACAAATGCCAAGACTGTTTAGACTTTAAATAGTGGGCACGGCAGGAAGTTAGAGATAATTGGTCAAATAATAACATATGGGTAATAAAGACTAAGTAATAATTTTGTAGAGAAACAGTTGTGAAGTCAGCTCTTCATATTCTTGTATATCTAATTTCACTGAATACATATTTAACAATGTAAAGGTTCATTATGCAGTCAATCTTTTTTTCTTTATCAGCTCAAAACCAAAATCGATTTTCACTAATGATACAGCCAGTGTGACTCGGCTGCCTTAATTTTTTTCCCCATTGACCTTCTAAATTTTGCTGCGTGTGACACTGATTGTAGGTGATGGCACATTCAAGTTAACACAAAACCTTATTTATTTGTCATCGATGGCTCTGACAAAGGGCTAATGTTCAAAAGGTCAGCTTGGTGGCCAAATTGCGATATCAACTCAGTTGATAATACTAAATTATCCCACTATACTCTCCCACCGACGCTGCACAACAGTTTCTCTAGAAACTTACCTCCTTGATAATACCACAGTTTTGCAATCATTTTTGCAGGGAATTGCTCCCTACATAGGCTTGAATTTTGCTGTTTATGAAACTTTGAAAGGTACTGTTTCACCTATCTTGTCTCTATTGTAACTCTGAAGGTTTTGTAACATCAGCACAATAAGTTAATGGCACTAAGACTCAGAAAGCCTGAACTACATACTCTTTTCATATATAGGTTATATCTTTGGTTATGAATCATTAGCTAATGTAGCAGTATATCATAAGAAAGATAATAACTTTTAAGCTCATGAAAGAACAAAGCCAAAATTTTTATTCCATCAACTTAACATGGGTGTGTGGTAAAAACATCAGAGTCCTTTGTCTTTGTGAGGTATCAAACCTCAGACCCTTTCATTCCCAGTTTTTTCTTAGCCCCATGGTTGTAATGAAACTAAGACCAAATTTCTTTATTGGTGATGAATGAGTCATTTTGTTATTTTTCATTTTAGATTTTGTCCTGGGGCATTTAATTGTGAGAGCACGGGGAGCAGAGCTGAAAAGAATGGACAAAGATAGGGAATTACCTGTTGTGGTTCGTCTCATTTGTGGTGGACTAGCAGGAGGTATTTCTCAAACTGGTGAGTATCACTGTAACTAACCTTAATTCAATGTAGAATTTTGTTCTCAAGCTGATGAAACATGCTTTGTAATTACTTTAACTAGAGTCATGCCATTTTTGTCAGTTAATCAAAGACATACTGTACATGTACACAATAATGCATCTTCAACCCTCCACTCTCAAGGTCTCATTAGTAATCCTCCTTACTGTCTCCCATACAATTCTTATGATGTTTTAGATTTGAGAATTTGGTATTGGATCAACTAATAATCCCCCTAAATTATATTTTTCTCCATTCTCATGATTTATTTGCTTGTTTTTGTTTTGATGGTGTAAGGAGGAATTCTATCTTTGTCAATCATCAGAGTTAATGGGTTAACCCTTCCACTCTCGAAAAAGACCAGAAAGTATTTTTTTGGCAAGATATAAAAAAACAAATTGTGTAATTATGAGCAAAGAAGGAATATAATGGCGGAGAATAGAGAAGTTTAAAACAGACTGGGAATCTAAATTTTATTTAAGTTAGGTATTTCTCAAACCAGGTAACCCTGTATTTTTCCCAGGCTGGTCAGTTGGGTATTTCTCAAACCAGGTAACCCTGTATTTTTCCCAGGCTGGTCAAAGTAGGCATCTAAACCAGTTTTCTGATTCCTTTACTTTAATTATGTTTGTTTTCAGTAACTTATCCTTTAGATGTGGTGAGAAGACGAATGCAAATGAAAGGGATCAGTGGGGACCTGTTTGCGTACACCTCTACTAAACATGCATTCACAACCATTGTTCAAGTGGAAGGAGTAAAAGGTTTATACAAAGGAATGTGGCCCAATCTGCTCAAGGTAACACTTGAAAGTCACCATCATGAAATCCTCAATAGTAAGAGAGGGGGAGGATTACTCCTTGGAATTCTTGGTAGTGGTTTGCTGCTCAGTTTAGTCTTACAACTGAAATCATCTCAACCAATCAATTTCACTCACAAACTCCTCACTAAACTCTGATGATTACTTCCACCCAGGTTGTTGAAACAGCGATCTGTGTCACTCACTGACAACATTTCAGGACTACTCTCAACCAGACCACCTGATCGACCATTGTGTGAATAGTTCAGAAAAATGATTGGTATCACTATTTATTATGTTGTTTGTGTCTTTCAACAGGTTGCCCCACTTGTTGGAATCCAGTTTGTAACTTATGAAATAACCAAGGCCTTCTTGTATGGCCAAGGACTTCAACTCCCCTGGAGATAACAAGGCGACATGCGTTTATCCTTAGAGTAATTGCCTTTAATGATAACAAATTAGAGCTGAAAACCCGGGGTTCGTGAAGTGAAGACTTCATACCTGAAACAAGCAGATATTCGAATTGTCCATTTGGTTATTTAATACCAACTGATAAAAATTCAAGCTACTGCTTTGTATTTTTTAAGAAGCAATTGATATTTAAGGTTGCTGTTAAGTTATGCTGTTTCCCTTTTGGAAAATGTGGTGTTAAAGACACTAATCATACAGAAAACTACGCACAATGATCAGGGGTACAACACAGTCACCATCTGAAGTTATTTTTATTTTTTGCACCTACTTTTCCATTCCTTTCCACAAAGCGAGAGCTTAACGCATGTCCTGGCGTAGGGATCTTCTTTACATGTCTGTAGATAAGCACAGTTCCTAAATACTTTTCTTAACTAAATTGTTAACTAATCAATCGAATTAAAGTGAGTATATGAAAACGTCTGGTAACAAAGCTACGGATACTCTCTTTCATCAAACCTCTACTTAATATGACCTGTGTACTCATCGAAAGAGACCCATCTCTCAGGCTCTGTGATTTCCCATTGTCGATCATCATGAAGTAAAAATTTCCCTTCACAAATTCTCTTAGCAAGGGAAAAATTGGAATAAAACATGAATTAAGATATCTCAGCTTATCATTAATATTCATCTAATTTTGCAGTTTACTTCAGTGAAGAAGGTTAAGGCGCCACCACAGCCAGAAATATTTTCAGTGCGATTATAGTGTATAGGTTTCCCCGAGGGTCCATTTTAACCACTCGCTATGAGTTGATAGTTAGTATATTATCCATTATACGGCAAAAACATTCAGAGTTTCCAGAAAATAAAACAAATTGCGGGTACGTCCTCGTTTATCTCAAAGTGGAAATGATTAACGTGAGGTTACTCATCCCCCTCGGACCCGCCTTCGTCGGAGCTTGACTCAAAGCTGAAGGCAACATTTGGGTTTTCTGTGAAAAACTGTTGAAGCTCGTCGATTATTCTGAACTGCAAGTGTAGAAACTTTATCTCAACGTTAAGTTCTGCCATGCTTTCTTTGTACTTTTCTGGTGTTGTGATGGATTTTTCCAAGAATTTGATCAGCTGTGTAACCTTCTCGTGGTTCAGGAGGAACTCTGGAACGGGTAGAGGCTGACTGTAAATCTCGTCCGATAGAACAAGATATTTTAAAATCTCTGGCATGGCTAGTGGGTGAGTTTTCGAGCTGTCCATGAAATCTGCCAGGATCTGTTCAGATGGAACTTTACTCGGTGCATCAAGTTTCGCCATCATTTGAGCGTTCAGTGATTCCAACCAGGCGTTGATTGGGTAGAACGATTTGTACGTAAACATGAAGTTGACGGGGAAATCCGAGGTCGTTTCAAACGTGTCTGAGCCCAAAACTGGTGCCTCCGCCATATCTTCATCCAACATAGACAAACCATTCTCTAATGTAACTTTAAGGCTCTTGTCGTCCATTTGCTGGAGGGTGTTGGACCCACTAATGAAATAATGCGGACAGTGCTTCTTCTTAATGCAGGTTCTCAGGTCTTCCATGAGGTCTTTTACGCGGTCACCGATCGTTGCTTTGGTCCACTGATCGACAGGCACGGTCTCCAGTGCCCACAGAAAAAGAGTTTTTGGAGTGTAGGTGGTTATCACTGAATCCAGCTTGATGTATCGGGAGAATAAGTACTTAAAAATAAGGTAGCACATCTTCTGCTCGTCTGTGATGGAGTTCATCAGGGTTCTTTCTGCCAGCGAGAATGAGTACCTCCATTGGGTCTGGGGGAAATTACTACCCTCTGCAGCTTCCGCCATTTCACTGTTACTTGGGGTCACTGAACTTTTTACTGCTGCGTCAAACTTTGGCACAATGTGACACCCATCCTGTATCACCTTCTTGATAAGTTCCTGTGATGGCCAACGTGATGGCCTGTCCCTCGTGCACCATTCCTTGGCACAGCTGGGCCATTCTTTACAGGGCACAGACAAACTGACGTCCTCTGTGAGAAAGAGGCACCTCCCTTTTTGGGGACTTAAGTCTCCCATGCACATGACCACGTGGACTGCTGGCCCTGCCTGTCCCACGTACTGGAGGTAGTCCCCAAGGGATATGCAGTCTTCTTCGTTGTATGGTTTATCGTTGCTGTGGTGTTTCTTCATTCTGTGGACGTTTAATATGGCCGTGATGATTGTTAACACGTTGTACATCTGTTCAATGAGAAGCTCTGAGGATAAGAGTGTAATTTCTTCATTTTGGACACACAGACTCTGCAGACCTGGTACCCAATCCACATTTGGAGGGACTGCCAATCGGGCATAACCAGGAGGCATCGAAGGGAGGACTTGCAACTGTACATGCTCCTCTGGGGACTTCAAATCAACTCTCTGCGGTGGATTTTCGCTGGCGGAGATATCCTTAAAACAGAGATTATAATCACATTCAAAAGAAAAACCAACATCTCTCATAACATCATCATCCGAGTCTATAGGTTGTCTTATCGGTTGGACGATAGGCACATCTTCTGGCATGCTTCCAACCCGTTGCCCATCAAATTTTTGACCTGCTATGAAGCAGTTGTCCAGCTCAAGGGATTCACTGTGTTCCAGAAGCGTTTGTGTTGTTCCTGGCATGAGATGATTCAGCACATGATGTAAGTTGGCCTTGACATGTCCAAAACAGGTCTGTTTAACTATCGTCAACATGGTGTAGATGTTGAAGTTCCAAGGACTGTATGGGACACCTTCTGGGTAGTCTATTTCAAAGGGACCTCCTGATTGTCCTTCAGCCATCACTGTTAAAAAATAGCTTTAGTTAAAAGGTTTAATAAAACCGGCCTAGTCGCCACGATCGACAGAGCATAGAATAGAGTTCCCGTATTTCTATCCATGCGATTAAGGACGGGTAACCCACCCCACCCCCCTCAATATTTCGTCAGCTTTCAGTAACTGCTAGTGGAGAAAGGCATTTGAGAGTACAAGATAATTTGTTTTTATCAAATGAGTTGATAATGTAAATAAGCTACCATTAGCAGTTTTTTAAGTAATTTTTCGAGCGTTAGCCCTTCCTCAGTGCGAATAAAAGGAATTGGGGGTTGTGTGTTGATGAAATACAGAAAACAGGACATGATTTTATCTGGCCAGGTCTCGTTCCGTTATTCCGTTACTCTGTCGCCAAATTAAGAAAATAATAATCCTAAACAAGGCTTGGACCGAGAAGGAAAAAGTTGCCTGTACCCCACTTGTCTAAAGTTCTACTTAAAATCATTTTCCTTTCAATCTTCAAACCAGCAATAGTTAAGTCATTGTAAGTTAAGTCGCCATATTTTCAATTGTTTTGCGACAGAGAAATTTGCTCGAAGAAGCAATCGTGGCAAGGATGAAACGCAATTTAGACAACTGTGGAAAATAAACCAAAGGATATTTCGGGGAATTCAAAAAGCGAAAGAGATAAATAAATTGTATCGTAAAGTGTTTATCAACAGTGGACATGGAATGAACCGTTGATGATCTCTGTTATGATGTAACGCAATTTTAAATAAAACAGTTACAGTTATGGCCGGAGGCGAACAAGATATTCAATACCTCATTACGATCATTTGTTCAAAGATAGTTATTTTTCCGAATGTCTTAGCAACTCAGAATACAGTAACAATGACGCTACCCTAGCGTCATGCCGGCATAAATTAAGAATTGTCGGACAGCTGGTGCTTTGTAACTAAAAGCCAATGTTTGATTAAGTATGATTGATTCACATAAAGGAGCCTTTTTACATCTGAAAGATCAATGAGTTTATAAGGAAGTGAATTCATCTCATCTTTGGCCCCAAGATACGTTATAGAGAAGGTAAATACATGTAAATACGATCAGGCTCGGTGAACGTCAATTTAATCAATGAATAACAGATATACCACTGGTGCATTCAAACATTTAATCAGTTCTGACTATAAAATAGCTCCCTTTTTATACTAAGGCAGCGATTTTTCGTGGAACTACTTCCTATTCCAATAACATTAACTGAGAGGCAAATGTAACTTAAATGACAGCTAGATCACAAATCCCTCTGAGACAGCCACGGCACCGAAGTCGCTGTGAAGGTCGACTTCACATCACGGAAAGCGCTAGATGGCGCACATGATAAAGTGACACATAATATGTTTAACGAAGCGTTCGTTGTTCTTGGAGTTCCGCTTAAATGTTGACCAGAAAATTTACATGTATTTTAGTTAACTGTTACTTGTTGGTAATATACGAGCTTACCTTCGCTTGAGATCGACAACGTACGCGTATACCTATGGCGGAAGCAGTCACGGTAAGGAAGTTCGGCCTCTGGAAACTAGATTTATCTCTTTAACCAATGAAACGGTGAATTCGATTCTCTTTGCCTCATCGGTATCTCAGATTGAACACTATTCAAATTTTGGGAATTAGTTTTTCTGAGAATTTCGGTTTAGTGTGGCAGAAGAAAATCGTTTAAGTCAGCTCTCTATACGGAAGCTTTTGATTGGGTGTTTGAACAATATGAAGCATCACGGGGTGTTTTTCTAGTCACGCTAACAAATCGGGTTGATTCTCATCAAGTCTATTTCCCACTCGTGTTTCTCTGTCACCCTATTAATGCGCAATAATGAATAGAATGAGGAACATTTTATTGACGCTTATCGATCGTTGGGAGATGGTCTTAGACCAAAACTAATTCATAAAAACACCTCGGTAAGACCGTAACATTATTTGAATCAACGGCGTACATCAGTCTTTTTTTTTCCACTCTGCGTTTCCTATGAGATGTGTTGCAATGACTAGTGAGATAAAACCATGTTCATTTTGTACCAGGGAGGCAAATTGGACTTTAAGGAACAAGTGCCGTAATCCTTCGAGATAACTTATTCAATCTAGATCTGAATCCAGACAAGAGTTACATCTGACCCACCGCGCACTGTGGTCCTGTAAAACCTTTTTCTTTTATTCGCAGGAAGATACGACACGCTTTTACAACAGTTGTTACAGAGGAGGAGGTCTTTTCAGCAGATCTCTCGAGAATTTTTGATCAACGCCGCGTTTGAGCTGCGATCTGAATTTTATCCAAGCATAGCGATTTCTTGTTTTCAGAAAAATGAGAGAGTAATGGTCTTAAAATCGACGGTCTTAAAACCCACCCTGTTAATTAGGTTGACTGGGATTTTCTGCTTTACAGTAAATAGAGGTTGTGCAGTAGGTGCGGACTCACTGAATGGAAAAAAAAGACTACTTTCCGATGTTGTTGCAGCAGGAGGCGGAACTTACTCATTTGTTCCCTTTATTTATTATTTCCTAGCCCGCGAGCAGGCCCCAATCATCGACCCTGCGACACGGCTGTTTCTTCGCCTGAGCAAAAGAGGTAAGCGAGGGGTCTGTAAGCCACACCCTCTGCAGACCTCACAGTTCCCTTTGCCCGTTTGTACAAAGTGTCCGTAACACTAAAAAATCATTTTTAACGAATGAAAACGTTTATACAAAGTGTCCAAATCATTTTTAAAGAATAAAACGAAGGTCAGTAAATTTCCCGACCAAGTCAGTAGATTACATGCAGCTACAATCTGAAAGTGACAATAAGACTGGTGGAAGTCTAATTTCATCCTACTGTTCTAACAGGGTGGGAGGGGTGGGTGGAGAGCGAACGCCTGATCATGAAATGGACTACAGATCGCTGGGTCAATTCCTTTCTTGTCACGCAAGCCAAAGATCTCGCTCCCTAACGAGAGAAAAACAGATTAGGCAAAACCATGGAGAAAAACAATCGATTACGACGGATCGAGGAAACTTGGTTCAAGAATTGGACATTGAGGTGATTCCACTCCGGCCTAATTCCTAAGCGATCTTTGCTCGAACAAACCTCAATGGATCCAACTGGGAACCATAACATCACTGAGTAGCAAGAGAGAATCCTTTTTTTCTCAATAAATATAAACACTTAATATTAGCATTCTATACTCCTGATCTTATTGTGATTTTTTTTCTTCTCTTTCCTTCTTCTTCAGTTCTTTAAGTTGTCCTCTCTTTACCACTATCATCATTTTCCACGCTGTCCACAGCCAGGAGACCTTGAAATATAACAGCAGGGTTTCATTGCCAAGAAGGACAAGCAGAAAAAGACAGTATATTCTGTCCAATGGGCAAAATACTGAGCTGAGTACATTATACAACCACTTCCCTGACAGGGTAGAGTTTAGTTTTGGTGATGATATAGAGTGGACCAAATAACAACAACAACAACAACAACAATACTTTATATAGACACCTTAGGCCTAGGAGCTGTGAAAGCTTGTTCAAAATACCTATGTGTTAAACATGGAAAATTGTTGAAGCAACCAAGAAAGGGAATTTGTTATAACAAAAGGCCCATTTAAAACAACATCAAGGAAAGCTGGAACTTGAGAAAGATCAATTTTGAGTTTAGGTGATGACAGGAGACCATTAACTGAAAGGGAAGTTGCCAGATATGATCATTTCTTGTAATATATCATTTATGATATAACAGTATAAAGCATGTAATCATGCACAAAGCTGATCATCTTGTTTTCAGAGAGGGACAGTAGGTACTCACAGCTATTTTTTCAACACTGTGTTTACAAACTGGACAAAAGTATGGAATGAATGTGAAAATCCAACAAATATGATCACTCTTCTATAAAAACAAGGGGTTGAAGGTGCCTGTTCAAAGAAGGGGTGTTTCTTAAATATTTTGGTCAGCTGGATGGGCATTTCTTTAAAGGGGCTCTTATTTGATAGTATAACTTGAGAATTAAATGTAATTTATTCCAGTACTTACTGTCAAAACAAAGCAGTTTAGAAGTATTGGACCTGAATACACAACTGTTATGAACAAACCAGCTGAATCAAAATACTGCTCCTTTGCAAAGGTCCTATATAAAAAATAATTCATTAAATAATGGTAATTTGTGAATGTCTAATTGTTTTGTTAGTTTAAGACAGGGTTCTACTCATTTCATTTTCCTGAATAAACAAGGAAAAGCTTAAATAAATATCTTATTTATTTTCATTTTCAGATTCCTATATCCAACTCTTCTCTTAATATGTCAATTAACCTATATGTCTCAGTTTCTCCTCACCAACTGGGAGTTCATAGAAATGAACCCAAAAAATACAAAATATTGATAAAAATCAAAGTGAACAAATACGGAAATCCTTCAAAAGAAAACTCTATCATTCTTGAGTGAATAAAGAACTACTTGATTTCCTCCCTTCTATAGAAAAGAAAGCTGAATTAGCTCTTAGGAATCAGTGTGAACAAACTATACAGGAGACCACAAAATTCATGTGGATACTCCAAGATAATATGGAATAGTTGGCATATATGTTTTTGTAATTCTTTCTTTTAAATATTCATCAGAATATTGTCAGTGCTTACCTCCAGTGTTGTGCTCCTAAGGTATTGATTTGTTCTGAAGCAAATGCCAGTCCCACTGAGGGAAAAATGTAGACAAATATCAACTCTGTGTAACTGAGTCACCAATTTTTTATTTTCTTTTGGGCAAAGGGTAACACATGATATTAGTTCATACTTACATAGCAACAAGAATAAGACGATTTGAAAGTTAGTGTATTTTCTTGTGCAAATAACACATAGGAATGTTGCCGTGTGGAAAACAATCAGACCTATCAACCAATGTTCAGTCCAGTCTACCTAAGAAGTATGAATAACATTACGAGATCAATCTAGATAACTGCATTCACAACAAATCATTCTTCGAAACGCTTACGACAAAATAAAAGTAGCTCACAAAATAGGGATAAACTCACAGCTTTGACAAATTCCCACATACTATCAATTTGTTTGGTGGGGATCCATTTATCACCATGTAGAGAAAAATGTTGTTTCATCTTTTTGAGACTTCGATTTGTGATAAGTTACCACGTCGTACAGAAGGAACACGACTTCTTCAAGGCGTTACATGTAAAAGAGTAAGATTAGGACTGAGTTATTAACCGCTGGCTATTTCATGAGCCAGCAGGCCGAAGAATCAAGATTAAAATTATAAATTTACATAACAAAGCAGAAGTAAAGAATACAGGTGATCATACATTATATATTTTATCCAAACAGCTGACTTACTTGTCCTTGTACTTAAGTTAAAATATATTTCATTTATATGTTCAATGGCAACTAACAAACGGCAGTAAGAGAGGTCTGGCCTCAGTGTATCGTTCTCCTAACTTCATGATCGATGTATCGTTCATGAATATTCTCAACTTTGTTTGTTTATTGATCGTCTTTCAAACAATTATTTTCGGAAGTTAATCTCCTGCTGCAGTGATAATTCTCATTTCAATATTGCTGCCGCTAACGCTTTTCTGTTGCCAAGTAATTTATTTTGCCATCTTTGTTATGCTTCCAAGGAACGGTGATCAAGCGTAATTAAATTACATCGATCGTGGAAATGTCCAGATCAAAAAGTTTTAAGCGCTCGAAGAATCTACTCTGCTGTTGTATGGGAAAGGAACAATTTAACTTCATCTCGTTGTCGCGTGTGTAATCGAATTTAAAACTCGTGTTTGATCGGTACGTATTGTGAAATGAAGCCTCTGGAAAGTTAAATGGTTTCGGTTAAGACGATGTTTATACGAAGTCCACGAAAGTTCGGAGCGTGGCTATCCACTGCGCTACCCCTCGTTTTTATTGTGGTCAATAACAGTCAGTCGTGCGGTAAGTTTATTTGTTTCCTGCGATCAAAATTTATTGCTTTCAATCAAGGCACGAGTGGTCGTCCTGTTTACGTGCTTACGTGTGTCAAAACAAATCTGTGTTTTCCGATTTTCTCGAAATCGAAATTTTTAATTTTGGCTCTTACCGTAAATTTTACGCTTTTATTCTTACATCGTCTCTCTTAACTTGTTAGATTAACAGATAAAATGTAAATATAAGAAAGAGTTACAGATAACAACTCATGCATTTGAAATTAATTTAGAAACAGTGAAGATCTCCAAGTCTTCTTATTTTCATCAAGTTGACACATCCTTATCATCATGTGGTGCCTTATTTTTTTTACACTTGTCCTTTTCATTTTGTGTGTTCCTACATTAAGCTTTAGGTACTAACCTATTTTAAATTGAAATTCAGTGTAACCTCATTTAACTTTGGCTAGAATATATTTCACTCACCATTTCTGTTGATCACGATCCAATTCTCAGACTAAATTCAATGGAAAGTGTTGACATTACATTAATTTAACTTACAATATATGGATTTTGACTTGTATAGGTGACAGTTGACTATAATTATCTATTTGAAAACAAAAGAAAACACACACTACTCAAGGCACTTATTGCTTAGATACCGGTGTATGGTACTTCTACCGAAAATATTGACAAATTCTTGTTTAAAGTGTTGTGATTGAGATATTTATGAATTGAAAAGTAATTATAACAACCTGTTACAATCAAGATGAAAGATTTCAAAAGCAAAGATCATTAGGGAGCCTGTCTTTATCAACATAGGCCACTAATTAAAATTTTTCAATTTTTTTTCCAATAATTAGAAGATGTCATCAGGTAGTCACTTGAACTGACTTGAACGTAAATGTTTACTTTGAAAAAAATTTGTTATCCCTGTTGTAGTATCTTGAACCTCTGAATTTCAAATCCAGTAAAATGTTTTTCAATTCCTGCCAGGTCTTTGTGAGAATTCACCTGACGCAACAACCTAATTATTACTTTTGATTGTAGCTCTAAGGGTTTCTTGTTAAATAAGAAATCATCTCCTGGTTGTTGTTTTTTTAATTCTCATTACTACTAGGCTTGGCAATGTAATAATATTGTAAGGAGAAGTCATAAGTTAATACCTTCCTTCCATGGTGGGTACAATTTGATGTGCTTCTTTTTATAGAATATATTTTAAAATTATTTTATGACACAGTTTTTTTACATTCTACTTACTGATTTGAATTTTTAATTTTTTTTGGATGACATCAAAGTGAACGCAGTAAAAATCTTTTAAATTTTACTCACTGATCTGAATTTTTAAGTTTTCAGATGATATGCTCTGTTATTTGGAGATGTTACCATATCTCATTGGAATTCTGGAAACAAAATATTGCTTTTTCAGAAAAGCACAGTGGATGCTGTCAACTTGCACTGCTCTCAAAATCCCAACCAGTGTTCTTTGACTTTCTGGAATGATTCAAGGTATTCTGGGAAAAATGGAGATATTCAAAGTAAAAATCATTATGGGAATTTTGTTTATTAATTAAGTACAACTGTTTTCCTCTCTGTAGATCAATTCAATAAAAGTAATTCAGGACAACATGAGAACTTGCACCACCCACCTTAACACCCTAACATCAGTATTTATATTCTCCATACTGTACTCTGTACATTTACTAAGGTGCTGACAAGGAGAATTGTTTAACAATCAAGAGTTCTTTAGTTGGTGATTATTTCCTTTATTGTCGTGACATTAATGTGTGATTCGATGGTGGTATTGTAAGGAGAAATTAGATGCCAGTCACTCTTAAGGGTTAAAAGGGTAATAAGTTTCCCACAAATCAGTAAATCGCCTCTTTACTATTTTTGCCACTCATTGGCTCATGAGGGTGTAAACTCCAAGCTTGTGCCTCTGTAGCCCAGTTGGTCACAGCACCTAACTACTACCTGGGAGGCCTGGGTTTGAAAGCCATCAAAGCCTGAAATTTTTCAGACATCTTTGCTATGATTGCTGTAATTACAGCTCACCTGCAAATACCATTCCTTTACATGTATATCATGCAAGGGTAAATACTGTTTATGGCTGGATAATGAATATGACTAGCTATATTGTGATTGATTGCTATGATATATTTGAGAGGGAAAATTGAATGGGAAAGAATCTAAAACTTAATCCTTCTCTTCCCTTTCTCTTCGTGCCAGGAGAGGGAGTTTATTTTCCATTTCGCATACATGGAGTGAAAATGCCAAGTGACGTTTACTTTAATGCTTTCGTGCGAATTTAGAGTACTTTTCACGCTTTGTTCTCAAATTTGTGTAGCTTAAATATCATGTATTCTTACCATACAACGTGAGGAAGTAACTTAAGATCTTTAAACGGATCATTTCATACAAACAATACGTATAGTCCTTGTCTCATGCGATCAAAGGTGCTGATTAAAACTCAGACATTTTCCATGCCAGCTGTGTAGTTTAAGTCATTGTCAGAGGACAAGAGACTCTTAACCGAATGATTCGGGCGATCAAGGTAGTTAGATCCAGCTTTCTTTCACCATTCGACCACTTTCCGCACGCACTTTGTTGAATGCGCATGCATTTCCTAGCTGTCATTATGATAGTCGTCGTTGGAAGAATTGAAAACGAATGACTTGGTCAGAAACTTACCATTGATGATTCCAAATCCATCACCAACTACGTTCACGGTGTTACATGATTCCCCGAAAGCTTCCCTGTAGATGATGCCATGGACTTGGCTCGGTTCGTTCACCCATTTTTTTTTTTTGTATCTTTTTAAATTCTTCGGTGTCAGTTTGCACGATAACAAGATGATATCCACTTTTGCCGTGTGTTTCATTTTCCGTACGCCTATCTCCTTCTCCTTCGTGGCCGTAGATTATGATTCCTCCGTATTTATTACCATTTCCAAGGAATGGATTTTATTTGGACGAAATGTGAATCGTGTCAATGCAGAATTTCTTTCCTTCACTACCTTGTGGACAGACCTTAAAAAAATCTCGACCTTCTTCTATGATTGCCGCTAGGTAGACACGCGTAGGTTCATCATTCATTTCGATTTTATACCTTTTCAATCTGCTTGTGAGATCAAGTGATCACAAAAAGGTATTGATTCTTGCGTTAAAAAAATGGAAAGTCTTCTTATGGAGCAGAAAATTTGTCAAGTGGAAAACTTCCCAAAGCCCAACGGAACACTTTACAATGTTGACAAACGTGACCACACATGATTCACTTGCATACGATTTTCCATACATTATGATTTGTTCTGTAATGAGGAAGTCGCAGTGGTCAGTATTCGCAAACAGGAGGCTTAAAAGGTTCTTTTATTTCCGTAGCTTTGTGACAACAATAGAATCAAATTAAACTTCAAACTTTCGATATGACGTCTTTAAGACCTGTTTCGGCATGACTCATGTTATTAACAGTTATATCCGTTAACTTTGTTCTTACAGTTACTCGTTACGTTAAAATTGAGTTAACATTTTGAATTAAATGACAATATTTGAAATGACAACTAGTGTTACGATACTTTAAGTACACGCTCACGGGCGCAAGTATAGAAGGTGAGTCTAAGCGAAAAAATAATATGTTCTTATTGACCGAATGTGAGGGCTGTACGGAAGAATATTTGGCTCGAGGTCAAGCACACTTTTAATCTTCTCAAAAATCTCTGATATCTTATTTTTATAATTCGTTGATATTTGTTTATTGTAACTTTTTTGAATGTGAGACTTGATGATAAGCGGACTTTCGGATTATCTTGTGTCTATTATCATAAAAATCAACAAACTCATCAACAGTGTCATAACTAACAAACTGACCGTAGTGTTTTCTTACATATTCTCCATTTTCGTTTTCAAGTTTCGTGTTCTTAGAACATTTTTCACTTCAATATCACAGCATGTTTCTTAATTTGTTCACCACAAAACGGACATATAACTTCATCTAAGGCGTCATGAATTTCAAAATTGCAATTCATTATTCTGTAATATTATATGAGATTTGATGTACGATGCATTAGACACTTGCCTATTGGTCGAAAAAATCATGCGACTATCATATGACTTCAAAACAATAGCAATCTGATGCCTCATTTCCTCGGGAAAAGTCCCTGTTGTATTACTTCATCAACTTCCTGTTTTCTGAGAATGTCACGCATTGGGAAAATTAAAAGGCACGCTGAGGTGTGTGAAACATAGATTGACTTGGAAAGCGGTCAAAAACAGTAT